ACCCCCACCCCAAGTCTACTTTTAAAATCTCCAGTTATGATTAATGCTACTGTGCTTCACATTTGTCCAATATTCTTTAATAACTTTCAACTTACAATTTAAATGGGTATTACTTCTTGCTTTCATCTTTCTCAATATGCTACTCTTATGTGCCAGTCTACATTAAGAAGGCAAAATATGTTGACTCCATGCTCTCTATGGGAATAGATGGAAGCAGGTGTGTATATACAGTAATGCCCTTTATTGTAATGACAATAATAGCTAACAAATTAGCAGATTCCAAACCTACAGGTTCCTAATATACTTTCATAGTTTAAAGGGTTAACCAAAATAAAAGTAATAAAAGTCATAGTAACATAAGATTCACCAGTAAAATCAGAAAATTTTCATTCTTATTTATTTTACAGCAATGCAAGTGCATAGATATTACTCGAAAGTGTTCTTTCTTCGGAAGTTATTGAATGCTATTTTGTTATTTGTAATCAATGAATTTGACAACAAATTTGTATGGAATCAACAACTCAGAATGCAGGCAATGGAACTTCAAGAAAAATTGTCTTTCAAGTCTACTTACTGGGCCTGAGAGACCACCAGGATCCCTACTGAGGAAGTGAGCAATCCACCAAAAACTGGCTTTATGACAGTATAAAAACTGAATGAGCATAGGGGCTACTGTGTTTGATCTTTTCTGGTAAAGAAGGAGGAATCCTTGATAAGAGCAACAGTCAACTAAAGTTGATTCCTATAAAGTAAGACACACCCATTCTCTTTTATGCTTCTCATTCTAACACCAACCACCCTCCTATAGAACTCAGTAGTTCTTTGCTGGGGTTGATAATTAGTTATGTTGGCCATACAGAACATTTGATAATGGGTTTATTAGAAAAGTGACAGGTAACAGGATCACTCATTGGAATTGAAACCATATTTTTTAAAAGAATTCCTGTTTTTTAATTGCGTTTTCTTTTGTCTAGGAATTTGGGCCTGGTGACAATGACCCAACCTTGTCAAGGTCCCAAGAGAGCTTGGCAACCTCTATGCACCAGAAAGGATTACTTCTCAGCTATATACTGCCTTGAAACATTTATTTTAGAAGTTCAAAGAAACAACCTTCAACATGGATTGTATTTCAGCATCAAGAAGACAAACATCTTCACTACTGAAATGAGAGGCAACATCATGATAGAAAAACATTTAAATTTG